CTCGATATCTTCTTACACATTTGCCAGCAGACTGCCAGATTTTTTAAAGAAGCTGGTGATGGGATTCGGAAAGTGTTAAGCGCTAATACTCATTGATGAAGGTTCCTCAACCACTAACGGCCTGAGAAATGAAATCCAAGACAAGGCCGGAAAAGGGACTTTCGTTGGCCGTCGGCGATCGTTCATCAGCGAGCGTCAACATCTCCTGCGAGGCAACTACTTCGTGGCGCAATGGCTAGAGGATCAGGGTCAGATAGAAATGATCGTGGGCTAGAGCACCAACTGGGGTTGGGTATGGCTGGCTGTCGACGGATTATAAGCCAGAAATGGTCATTCCAGTTTACATTCACTTTCTTGCAATACTCTTATCACGTACCCTAGACAAGGGTTACACTGAAACTCTGATGGTCATTCACTTAAATATACTTTCTTTGGACCGGAATGCCTAAGGATTTTTAAATATTGGGTATTATGCAATCCGTATATAACTCGCGAAAGTATAGCGTACTTTTCGTAATAAGTCGGAACCCATTTGAAGAGTGTTCACACTATTTCGCGTACGAAGCGTCGGATGGTTGCTGTGAAAACTGTGAAACTGGATGGTTTTAGGCGCCTTGCTGTAAAACGTGATTTCTAGTTTGCCGCTGAAACTTCGCCCGACGTGCACATAAATAAAAAGTAATTGTTCCTCCTTTTTATCGCCCTCGGCAATGCTGAGTGGCGCAGCTTGATAAAATTCTGCAGCATCTCCTTGCTGGCGATAAAAAAACAGGTCGTCAAAGTAACGGCGCCGAAATATGAACTCCTGTTCGGTGCAAGCAGTCTTTTCTAGCTTTTTTATTACATCTCCCGCTACTAAACTGCAGACTTGGGAGCATATTTTAGCTCCCTCGATCTGCTTATTTGCTTCTTCCCGCAAGAATTAAGTAGGATTTTGAAAACCAGTGAGCATCCTCAGTAGATGCACAGTCTTGAGAGAGTTTTAATTTACGCCGTAGATGTCCACGAGTTCCCTACGCAACGCTTTATTAGCTATAGTTAATTTTATGTATATAAATAAGGGCTTCGTATCGAAAGACAGCGTGATTTCACTCGAATGAATCATCTCGCTTCGAATTTCTACAAAGAAGTTGGATGGGTGCGGATGCGCGGATCAGATATTCACACTGAGGCACATTCTAGAATTCCGCCATAGCTACCAGCAACCGACGGCCATTTGCTTTGTCGACTTCGCAGCTGCATTAGATTCCATCCATCGTGAGTCCCTGTGGCGAATAATGGAACTGGATGAAGTGCCAACCAAACTCATTGCCATGTTTAAGGCCTACGATCCGTCTACCACCGCACGAGATGGTCCACAACAATCCTCTCTCAGTCGTTCGATATCCGGTCTGGTGTCCGTCAGGGCTGCGTCCTTTTGCCCATTCTGTTTAACTACGTCTTTGAAGATATCCGGTCTGGTGTCCGACAGGGCTGCGTCCTTTCGACCATTCTGTTTACCTACGTCATTGACTGGATTCTCCGCAAGGCCCAACATGAAGAGGACGGTATCGAGCTTGCCCCCGGACGCCAGCTAACTGATCTTGACTAGGCCGATGATATTGTGCTGTTAGCCTCAAGCTTTGGTGGTCTACAATCGTTAGTGTAGCGATTAAATGAGATCGCTATGCCGGTAAGAATCTCCATAAATTCTGAAAAGACGACGTTGTTCTCGAGTTG